GTGACCTACGGCTGCCTCGGCTTGGCCACGAGGGCCAGCAAGCGGAGGCCAGCCAGCGAGTCGTCGACCACCGAGGCACATCCCGACAGATCTTCAAGGCAAGTGCCTCAATTGCCACTCCTCGGCGCATCGGGTGGCAACCTGCAAGCTGCCCCAACGATGTCTGCGGTGCAGGGGATTTTGACACATCACGCGTGACTGCAAGCAGCAAAGGCGCTTGGGCTCTCGGAGCTCGGACGATGCAAGAGCCATGGGTCGCTAGCCGCAACGCTCTCTTCGTGGCACCCGTAACGCCTGCTCCGCTAGGCCAGCGGACCATGGTGGCTCGCAGGACTCTAGTGGGATCAAGTCGGGCAACGCCGTTCCTACCACTAGTGGTCGCCGGCGCCGAAGGCGGAGGCGGTGCCGAAGACGGAGGCGTAACATGCGGTCGGCAGGGGCCGCACAGGCAGCACCTCGGTTGCTGCTGAAGCTCAACCTGGGCACATTGAGCTGTCCAGTGAGACGGGCATTGTCCAGCTTGACCCGTTGACGCTGACACAGTACCTGGATGCCACGCATGGTCGCGACATCACAGAGGACCCGATGTTGGAGGAGTTCACAGCCTCGCTTGCCAGCAGTCGGATCGTCGCGTGGCCTTCTCTTGAGCGCCTATTGTCACCTCCAGTGGCCCCCCAGCTACAAGATGAGGCCCCGACAGTGACGACCCCCAGTTGGAGGATGAGGACCCGGCGGCAGTGGTCTCCTATGCGTTGCGGACACCACCTCTGCGCCCCATTCACTGGGCAGTGGACTCACCACCGGTGGATACCCACCCGACCGAGGACAACGATGACTCCGCCAAACGCCGCCTCGATAGCTTCATCAACAAAGTAACGCATAAGAGGGACTCTCCACTGATTCGTGAGCCTCCAAAGCAGCCTCCTGCTAAGCTAGTGGTGCCGTGACGGAGCAGGCGGTTGGTGGCTCAGCCCCTTTGTCGAGTACCTGCTTCCAAACGAGGTGAGGTGCTGATCATATAGCGTATGGGCTTCACCAAGGGTCCATCAGCGCCATCCATGTCAGAGCTGGAGGCCTATGACAGGCTCTTCGGTGGCGACCTGACTGCGTCCGAAGCCGAAGCACTGGACGAGCTCTTCCAGTTGTTTGGTCCAGGCAGCCGTGAAGACACAAGGCTAACTCATAGGTCGCACCGTTTAGTCGGTATTGGTTGTTTCCTTTAATATAATATCGAATCTAGAGGTCTCTTACTAGGATGGTCCAGTTGCGGCTGTGTTATGTTCACCTCCTTCGACGCTTGATATAATCACGTTGTATGTTTGTCTAAAATCTTCTATTTAATACAATAATACATGAAACTCATGCATTGCCGGCAGGCGTGCGCTCGCTGGACCCTAGCTGGCCTGCTGCTGCCGTCTGCAGTCTGCAGAACCTAGGATCAAGATACGCGATCGACAGAGACGCGTACGTACGTAAGGGCTCAGCGATTTGACAAAGATGGATGCATGTACACCTAGGCGACTAGGCGACTTGGCAGGCCAATCTTTATCTCGCTTTACGTGATGCTATATGCAGATCGCCTGCGTGCAACAGACAGAGCCACCAGCACGTTCTGGCCATTGACATGCATGCCCTGGCCTTGCAGTAGCGCAGCAAGCCTTTATTTTGTAGAGAGGAGGATCGGAGGTGCATGCAGATCACCGACCATACTTAGGGGTTAAGGATGTGTACATATACAAGCATGCATCTGTTTACTCTTGACATGCATGCCCTGGCCTTGCAGTAGCGCAGCTAGCCTTTATTTTGTAGAGAGGAGGATCGGAGGTGCAAGCAGATCACCGACCATACTTAGGGGTTAAGGATGTGTACATATACAAGCATGCATCTGTTTACTCTTTGAGCTTAATCTGATCAGAGAAAAAGTAGCAGAACAAAAGGGATGATGCGACCAAACTGAAAAACAGATATGTACATTGCGAGACCCAGCTCATGGGCGAATTGAATAGCGATGGAACGCGCTGTAGTTGGGGGCACTGTAGTCTCGAGCACTGCAGCACCGCGTTGGGCCGGCCAAGGGGTACTGTAGCTCGGGGATACTGTACACGTGGGCTGATGTAGCATCGCGGAGTACTGTTTATCTGCGGTTTAGTACCTAATGGAAACTGAGGAACGGCCGAGCCATCTTAAATAGCGAGGCCAAGGACGCGTGCTAACCTTCGATTAATTGTTTTACACGAATTAATTAAGGATAAAAACATAAGTGAGTTGCTACGTAGGTGGAGTACCCCTTGTAGAGTGTGTCTGTGCCATGTGCCGTGCCTCAGGTGTTACATACATGCCTGAGACGATGTATTCTTGGTCAGCAGAGAGAAAGATCGATTAGAAAAGTTGGCCCATTATTGTATTGTTTCTTCAGCAGCATAGAGAAAGATTAGAAAAACTGGCCCATTATTGTATTGTTAATTAGTTTATGTACATGCTGGTTATATATATAGCGTTTGGCCATCTTCCTGGTGGTTTCGTGGCCGAAGCCGAACTAAAGGTAGAGCCACTGTTCCTTCTGGCCCAAGTTCGCCCCAGCACCCCCCAACCTGTACAGATCGATCGCCGCTTGCCAGCTGCTTTTGGGGCAGAATAAAAATAGCGAGACCACTCTACTGTGTACGTACGTACTTCAGTTTCCAACCTTATTAAGCTAGCGCCGCCGGACCTCGATCTATTATTACTAACTGAAGTTGTTATAATGTTTTTATTAGTTTATTAGATGGACGATCACTTTAAAAATATTTAAGTTTGGGACAGCAACGTTCCCTCCCTACTAATTTAATTTAACTTCTGATAATTACTACTCCCTAATTTTAGATACATAGCTTTACTTTACATATCTGGATTCTAGACATGACATACATCTAGGTGTGTCACAAAATCTATGTATTAAGAATCTTACAACTTGGAATGGAGTGGGAGTTACTTTATTGTAAACCGCAACTTTTTTTTTTGACAAAGACACTCAAAAGACTACCTCACTTTTAATATATCTCAGAGAAAACAAAGGCTAGTATAAAAGATGGACAACAAGATACAAAACGACCTATAAAAAGATAATATTATATCAAAAATCAAATCAGTCGTCTTCTTCCTTCGATTGTTCACTGTATGCTAGAGCTTGAAGACTAATCAGCTATTGATCGAAACCATGACCGGTTAATTATTATATTGGTCCCCTTTTATATCAGGAGAGGAAAAAAGGAGACAGAGAAATGGAATTTCACTGGTCCTCTCTCGTATATGTAGCCTCATTCATAGATGAAAGCTAAGTTAGCACATCTGAACTTTCATATTTGAATATATTTTGGGATGTACAGATCAATTCCAACTTGGTGTGCCCCCAAACAAAAAGATGGTGGTCACTAAATGATTACAATATCCCGCAGTAGATTCGCTATTTTGTTGTTTCCCTCTTTAATTTGCTGCTTGCAAACGTGATGACAGCCACAATAATAAAACTTATATTAATTATAGGATAATCACACACGAATATATATGAGGGCAAGTAGTGTGTGCTAATGATTTGTATAGTATGCGCGTGGCCCACCTTGATCTCTTCTGCTGTATATATGTCAGTGCCATATACAGGACCACGTACCGCTCGGAGTTGGAATAATGCAATATATGCATCGAATATAGTAATGGATATTGTCATCTTGAGAATATTGTTGTAGCTTAGGACCGGCCGATGGATTGCTCTAAGAGACTAATTAGGACACAGAGAGCAGGCAAAGCCAAAGGGAACTGAAACAGCTTGCAGTAACCTTAAACAAGAGCTAGTGTAGCTAGCTGCATGCAAAAGGTACAGATTCGAAGATTAACCTAATTAAGCCAAAGGCACACCCGGTTTGAGTTTTGACCTGTTGCCTTTCCACAGCAAACTAGCTGCGGCCGGCAAAGTAGCTTTTTTGCAAATGCGCGTTTGCGTACTGCTCTTTACTCAAAAGTGAAAATTTTCAGTTATATCTCGTGATAATTGTAAATTGCATATGCAGAGAGGATGCACCAAAAATGAACAGGGATATATACCGTACGTGTATTACGCATGCAAGACAACAAACTAGCAATAAGTCTATAACAAGAAAGCGCATGCACGAGATATTTTCATAACGGCTTTTGGCATATAAAGCGATATAGAAATAAAGCAGAGCTAATTATAGTTGTTCTTGTACGTGAGAGAGAGAGCGATTGGGAGCGAATTATATATTCCAAGGAGGACCAAAGATAGGATCAAGCTGTGCACTGTGCAGTGTGCAGCAGAAGCAGCTTCGTTCTCGATCGATCGCTTGCATGAGCATGATGCATGCATGCTTGCTTTCCAAGTTTCCCTCCCTCTCTTTTCCGATGCCCCTCCCTCTCTCTAGCTATAGCGGCTAGCTAGGGTCTGGACTCTGGACAAAAGCAGAGGCCTGGAAACCACGCACGCGCCCCGGCGGCCTCTAGCTTTATTGCGTGGCGTTGCGCTCCGGCCGGGGGCCGGGGGCCGGCGGCCTCCGGCTGCTGCTGCAGATGCCATATATCTACGTACGTAGGTAGAACACGCGCTTTAGCATCATTTCACATCGCGCGATCTTGGCCGTCCACTCCCCCGCGATCCTCGATCCCGTACCCTCCATCCACCTTTAGTTGATTATTAATTTAGAACCCTAGCCAGCTTGCATCCACCAAGGCACACGAAGCCATGGTCCGCAGCCCCCCTCCTATAAATCCAGGTGCCCCCATCTCCCCTCAGCACCATTAAGCCAGCACACTTGATCGATCCATCCAAGCAATAAACTCTACTCACTTATAGGCACCACTAACTACAATAGCTCTCATCAGCTAATAGCCTCGATCTCACTGTCGTCACTGAACAACTTGCTTGTGACCATAGATATATCCTCGCAGTGACATAGCTACAAAACAGGGCTACCAGCTAGCCAGATAAGAAGATCAGAGCTTTCCAGCTAGCCATGGGAGGCAAGTCGTTCTTCTGCCCCATCTTCAGCTTCCTGCGCAAGTCGAGGCGGTACGACGACGACATGAGCGACTGGGACGGCCGGGCTGGCTACGTGCGCAAGGTGCGCTCCAGCGACGAGGACTACGGCGGCTGGTGGGTCGGCGAGCGCGACGTCGACCGCAAGGCCTCCGACTTCATCAACAACTTCCACCAGAAGAAGGTCACCGTCTAGCTGCTGCCCACTACTACCGCTTCGATCCCAGCAGGCCAGCGTATGGTCGTCGTCGTCGAACACTACTGCGACCACATCGACGACGACGCCACTGCCGGCAGCACCACCGCCCCGGTCCACGCTCATGCATGCATGCAGCTACGTTTCATTTATTAGGTTCCTTGATATATTCTTATATGTTAATGTATGTTCATTACATTAGTTGATCTCGTTTGTGATGTTATTATGTCGTACGTACGTGCTCATTTAATCGATCAGAGAGGGAGATGAATAATTCGATCTGCTGGACAGACCTAGATCGATGTATGTCGTTTAATTTGTTTGTATATGTATGCGCTGTATGTATATGTATGTGTATGTGTGTGTGGAGGCATGCATAGGGACGATGCATGGAGAGATGTATGTGTCGTTGTCCATCACACATTCACATGTACATCAGTTAACGGTAATTGCCACCAAATAAATAATGTATGTATGATCTATCTTGTTATCATAGACATGCACCTATACGGCTATACCTACAACAATTTCTTCGTTTTGGACTTGCATATATTTGTAGCACTCTTTCTTCTCCTTGACTAGCATATGTGCTCCGTGTGCACATATGCATTAATAAACAAGCTTGGACTGATTGATATTTGAGCAAATTAAGAGAAAGGTGACACAGAGAGAAATCTAACGCGCACACTATCGCTTCTATTGCATTTTTGTACTTCCTCTTGGAGCTGACATCTTTCTCTTTGCATAATAAAGGAAGGCCTTGCATTGGCGACTGTGTTTTAAATGGCTGAGATGAAACTGTTGGCGAAAAAAAAATCTCCACAATTCATTTTTCTAAGTATCCTTGAACTAATAATCCACGTGAGTATGGCTGGGACGATACTACATCGTTTGAAATTAATCCAATTCTAAACCATAAAAATTCTATGAACATTTTTTAGGGTGCTTCATTTTTTTAATTGAGATAGAAAAGTTCAAGCATTACTGGTCCGTTTGTCTTTTCACAATTTGCGATGCTTTCTAAAATCATCTTGAATTTGTTAGTTCACGCGGACAAGAGGGAGGAGTGTCCCTTTTATGCAGCAACAAAGAAAGACGAACATTCTAGAAACCGACTCGCTGGAGCTGGTCTCGCTCCGGAAGAACAGGGATAAGTACCGCTCGGAGGTTACTGCAATAATCAGGGACATCGAAGAGATGATCTCCACTATGCCCCCTGCCAAGATCATTCACACTTGAAGATCAACGAACTTCGCAGCGCATCTCTGCGCGCAACACGCGTCGTCTTGTTCACAGTCCTTTGCTTGGTCTCTTTCCCCTAGCTTCTTGCTGCAATGTTTGCAGTCTGATTGTAATAACTCTATTTGAGTAATGAAGCTATGATTCACAAAAAAAAAGATGAACATGAAAAGAGAAGCGCAAAGGTGACAGTGGTCATCATGGTATCGTCCATTACTAGTAATATATGAAATTGACGAATTAATTATCCATTTCTAATAACAGCAGATACGACTAAAACATAGTGGTCATCATGGCCTCATGAAACCGTCAATTACAATACGGTGCACATTGCACGGCTGCTCTGCGACGCCAGACGCCGCATCGCGCCTCTTGTCTGTTTCCCATATAGGAATAACCTTGATTACACCTAGTATTAAATATGGTCTTGAATTTCCTTCATTTAGTTGCTAATAAAAATGGGTCAGACTTTTTTAAATCCAACAATAACAGCTACATACGTGATGTTTAAGTGGTTAGTATCATTTTAGCAATAAGCAAAGCAAGAGCAAGTTTGGCCCGAAAACAATGAATGAAACAAGAAAAATCTGAAGCGGTGGCATGTGGCCATGGAGAATTGGAGACCGCAGCGATCATATCAGATGAGATGATGAACTGAAGGGGAAAACAGCTATCATAGAAAGATTACTACGTACAATGCTGTTACTGAGTACAATTACAATGAAGGCTGTGTATAGTTCGCGAAATTTAGGAATTTGGGCTACTGTAGCACTTTCGTTTTTATTTGGCAATTAGTGTTCAATCATGGACTAATTAGGCTCAAAACGTTCGTCTCGCAATTTTCAACTAAACTGTGCAATTAGTTTTTTTCGTCTACATTTAATGCTCTATGCACGTATCGTAAAATTCGATATGATAGATACTATAGCATTTTTTAGAAAAAGTTTTCGCGAACTAAACGAGGGCTAGCTAGCCACATTTCCGTGTCCGTCTGCTCTGCATGCATGGTGCATGCCAACTTGAAGGCAAGGCAACAAGTGCCATGTCAAATACGGAATACCACTAAAGCTCCATACAGAGCGAATAAAGTGGCGTCGTCACGTACGCATCGGCATATATAGGGACGACGACATGTTTTCTCCCATTAGCAACGTGCTCGTGCGTTGCAACGAGAAAAATTAATATCATAATAATTTAGATTTAAACGTGCGTTGCACCGGAAAAAATAATTATACCTATACGTTGCAACCAAATCAAGTAAACTATGATATCATATTTCCAAGTCTTGAGAGTGCTCTGCAATTGTTCTAACAATCCTCTTTGTGGTATGGTGCAGTGTTGCCTTGGAGCCATAGAGAGCCACAGCCATGCTCAACAAATTAAAATGAATCGCACAAATAATCTTACATTAAATAAACCGTGCCTCCCACATTTACGTAAGTTTTATAACTTCGGCTGATATCAGAATCGATAAGGATACCAACAATACTGCAAAGTATATAATAATATACTTCCTTTTAGTTAACCTTTTTCCAGTGATTTCCTACTCGACAAGTTGTTCATAAGAAGGGAGGCTATCCCTGTCAGTTCTGTCTTGCTGGACGACGCTGCTTGTTGATGCTGGCATATCCGTGCATGTGAACAACACTGTTCTGGAATGTGCGCACGCTGTGTCGAGGGACAACAGAACCTGGTATATTAGCAAATATATATTATTTATCCAATCTAAAATTTTCTTTTAAAAAATAAGAAGCATATGAATAGTGTGAAAAGAACGTAAAATTCTGCCAATTCACCATAGTACTCCAGATTCCGACAGCATGACCTGGTTTGTATATACGCTAAAACATCTTTATCCAAAATCCACACAAGGAAAAGCATAAAATGAGAGAAATGAAGGCATATGTTTATTCACGTGATAATTTTCACAGTAGAAGGCATAATGAACAATTGTATTTCTGATAATAAGATTAGAAGTTTTAGTATTTATCTTTCTGGCTCCCGTTTAATTATGGTTGATACATAATTTAGCTCTAAAATAATAGTAGCATCCATTAAACTGACTAACTGAGGTGTTACACTCGGCAAAGCCTTTGCCGAGTATTTTTTGGACTTTGCCGAGTGCCTGTGGCACATGGCAAAGCCACTGTTTCCGGTAGTGAATGCTCTAAAAAGTCAATGGGTAGTGCATCACTTGTTTAAAAGTAAGGGCTCTGAAGACACGAGGAGACACCTTATTCCCCTTTTCAGATGGTGGGATAGGAATTTGAAACCACAAAAAACATGATTTTAGTGAAACAATGGGGCATTGTCTTTCCTGATACATTATTTATGGTTTCAGCAAATCAGTACCACTGTGTAGACAAGCACATATATTTATTCTACTTCTGTAATGGTTCAACAATCCAGACAGGGGTACTGGCCACACCATTCTAGCTTATTGTTTTTGCCAAACTTTATATTAGGAATTAGAATCAAGAAGAATGTGCCTTGCAATAAGAATGGATATTATTCATCTTACAAAAATGTAGAAACCTGGAGGTTTTGTGGTGTCAAAATCGCAACCATGCTCATACAAGGCTCCAAGAAAACAACCTATAAATGCAAGAGGGATGCAAAGGAATTAGAGAAATGTCCTGCTGACCATTCAGCACCATACAACACCATACGACAAGGAGGCTCCAACGCTAGAATCTGTGTTCCATCTGACCCAGGGCTACGAGAGGAAATTCTGTCAGAAGCTCACGATTCCAAGTACTGTATACACCCTGGGGGTTCAAAGATGTATCAAGACTTGAAGAAACACTTTTGGTGGAAAGGCATGAAGACAGACATTGCGGGACATGTGGCACGGTGTGACACCTGTAATAGAGTCAAGGCTGAACATCAAAGGCCTGCAGGATTGCTAAAGCCTCTTGACGTTCCCGAGTGGAAATGGGAGAGCATATCCATGGATTTTATAGTTGGATTACCCCGATCACAGAAAGGCAATGATTCCATCTAGGTGATTGTCGATCGTTTGACCAAGATTGCTCACTTTGTACCAGTAAAGACCAAGACCAATGCAGAAAAATTAGCAGATCTATATGTTGAGCATATTCTCAGACTGCATGGAGCTCCCTCTAGTATTGTATCTGATCGTGGTCCTCAGTTTGTGTCCCGATTCTGGGAAGCCCTGCACAAGTCCATTGGAACCAAACTTGATTTCAGTACCGCTTATCACCCATAGATAGATGGACAGACAGAACGAGTAAATCAAATTTTAGAAGACATGCTTCGTGCTAGTGTACTGAATTATGGCTCTGATTGAGAGAAATGCCTACCCTATGCAGAGTTCTCTTACAACAACAGCTACCAAGCCAGTATCAAGATATCGCCGTTTGAAGCTTTGTATGGCAGACCTTGTAAGACACCTTTGATGTGGTCTCAACCGGGCAAAAGATCGTTCTTTGATTCCGCTAAGATCCAAGATGCAGAAGGAGTTGCTCAAGTGAAGGATTATTTGAGGATTGCTCAAAGTCGATACAAGAGCTATTCTGACAAAAGGAGAAGAGAACATGAGTTCAATGTGGGAGACTTCGTCTATCTCAAGGTGTCCCCGCTACGTGGAACTGTCAGATTCCATATGAAAGGAAAGCTTGCCCCTAGATTTGTTGGCCCATACAAGATTTGCAAGAGGATTGGGAAGCTCGCCTACAAACTTGAGCTACCTAAGGAATTGGCAGGACTACATCCCGTATTCCATGTCTCACAGCTACGCAAGTGTTTGAGAGTGCCCGATGAAGTAGTTCCAACCGATACACTTGACATTCAAGACACTCTCGAGTATAAAGAACATCCTATCAGAATTCTGGTAAGAGATACCAAAGAGACCCAAAGCAAAACTATTCCTATGTGCAAGATCCAATAGAGCAATCACACTGAGAGAGAAGCAACATGGGAGAAAGAGTCTGACCTCCGGCTACGATATCCTTACCTCTTCGAAGAGTACGTTATGCTTTAATCTCGGAGATGAGATTCTGTTAAGGAGGTAGGACTGTAACAACCCAAAAATCCACAGACCAAAAATCACAACTACAAAAAAAATTGTTATTACCCCATGCAATGTTGAGTGACATCTGTAGGAGCCAACCCTAGGTGTTGCATTAGAAGTAACCCAACTAGACAATTTCATGAGCATGGCATGTCATTTGTTAACTATGTTTATTCAAATACTAACAAATAAAATATAGCATACATTGTTAACTCAAATGGTGATTTGGATTTTCATTTATTTTAAGTAATGCCTAACAACTCCTTTAAAGAAATAAACCATGAAGTAATTATTAATCAAACCAAGGAATAAATGCTTAAAGAGAAAACTATTTCCATTTTTGTATAACAAAACTACACTTATTTTTGTTATACAAAATAGCTAAATAAATTCCTAATATATATATATATATATAAGAATGTTGTGGGCCTCATATCTAAAACTCCAATGAATAAGGTACACCAATTTTAAATTCAAATTCCAAATCAATTTGAAATTTAAATAAAGGAGAAGAAAAATAAAACAGAAAAAGGAAGAGAAAAGAAGAAGGCCGTGAGTGGCTGGCTCGGCTCCTTTCGGCCCGCTAGCTGCAAATAGCAACCAAAAATTTCACTTGACTTACTTGTGTGACAGAGACAACCCAACTCATGCGACCAGATCCGGCCAGAGCCCGGCCAAATACAGCTACCACGCCACCCGCCTCCCCGCTTCGCTTGCTGCCACTGCCACCGGACCCCACGCGCCAGCACGCCATCACCCGACGGAAGCCGCTGCCAAGCGGGGCCCAGGTGTCATCACCCACCTCGGTCCCCCCTGCTTTTCCCGATCGCAGAACAGAGACGGGAGTGGGAGCTCCACGCAATCCGCCTCGGCCGCATGATCGCGCTATCAACCGATCGGACGCACTCGAGGACGCCAGCCGGACCGACCAAGTCTGACAGAAGTCATGCCCACGGCGTGACCCTGC